AATCATCTTATTCTGTCATGTCTTAAAATCAGTGTCATGTCTTAAAATCAGTGTCATATCTTAAAATTAGTACTGGTAAATTTATCTGGTCGAATTGCATGATTCATCGGAAATGGAGCCGAAAACGATGGCAAAGGTACCGAGGCTGCAGCCCTAGGTACTGGCAAAGGTATTGTGCCAAACTTGATTGCTGAACCCGAAGCCGTAGGCAAAATGGGGTTCACTCCACCATGAGGAATCCCGCCTCCAATTATCCTATCAACTGGAGGAATGCCAGTCGAGGTCTCCACAGGGTTAACAGCGGTCCCAACAGTATTGCTTTCATTGTTCACATCTTCATTTCCATGTGACGTCATTTAAATAGAGAACAACCAACAAATAATTTAGAATAATTTGTAAAGTTGTATATATAAATTTAAGATCTAAATTATCTGTTCGAAAAAAATTTCGGAATTGAAGAACAGATTATATTTGTCAAATTATTAGCAACTTGTCAATAATTCAAAAATGAATTAGAAATCATCAACAATGATTGTAAATAAATATTAAAAGACAAGTAGGCAATCATTTGAAATAATGAGACAATCATCACTAATCATTGCCAAAAATTAAATAAAATATGCAATCATCACTAATAATTGTAAAATAATTAAATAATCATTACCAATGATTTGAAACCATGTTTGTTGATAAAAAAACATGCAAAAACCATACATAATCATACAAAACCACCTTTTTTTAAAAAACATGCAGAGACCCTTTTTTTCCCTTTTTCTCTTTCAATCTTGATTGACTAGAAATCTACCCTAATGCACTTTATGTTAATAGTGAACCGAACTTAGGAAATACATGAACTGATGAAAGAAAAATAACGGATTTAAAAAAAAAATTACAGAACCAGTTGAACAAAACAAAAAGAATTTGATTCACCAAATAAGGAATTCGATTTAAGCTTGTTGGGAAAAATTGGAGAATCAAAGTAGATCAATCAAAAACGAAGGTCGTGTTTACACGGTTTTCTTAAATCGAATTTGCCGCCTCACCGGAGTGCAAGAAGTTATGATCGGTGTTCGATTCTCAGGATACAATCTGTGACACCCCGTATTTAAGTTTCGAGTGTCACGTACTAAACATAATATCTCCTGCCTTTGTTACCTGTAAAAACTCTTAAATAAAATATAATGCATACTGAAAATCTATTTTTAACTTATAGTAAAATATCTCTGTAAAGTTTAATGGCCAACAGAAGTGCATGCCGACCTGAAATTATTCTTTACATATGCGAACTCGGTGCTGTTACGGCTAGTTTGGGCAACCAGTTCAAACATTTTTATAAAATTCACCCCAACTCCATTTTCTATGAAATTTGTGGCATTCGAAAGATATTTCCAAGTAGTTTCCTAGGTTAAAATATGGAGAGTTTCCAAGATCATATGATATGGACGTTTTACTAAAAACTGTGAAGTACTACACAGAAACTTCAGATTGACCTTT